GGGTCGGTTTTCGAACCGTATGGCCCTTTTTTTTTTTTCCCTAAAAAAAAAAAAGAATTCCCGTTTTAATTAAAAATTTTTAAAGCACGGGTAAAAAAAAAAAAAAAAAAAAAAAAAAAACCTTGCGCTAAAGTTCAACCTTCAAATGCTTAAGTAAAGGGTAAAGTACATATTTTGCAAGGCAAATTGCTTAACTTAATTTTCTCAGGTATATATTTATTATTGGCGGTGGTGGTAGTAGTAGGTATCGACATTTTTTTTTTTTTTTTCATTGCGAACTGGAAATTTTCTTAAAACTAAAAAAAAGCTGTTTTTTTTCCAAACAAAAAGTTAACATAAATGTTAACAATGGAAAAAAAGAGATACAAATAGATGAATATTTTTTTAAAGAAAAAAACAAAATCCTTTTTTATCCCATATTATTTTAAAAATACCCAAGATCGATAATGAAAAGCAAAAACAAAAACAATATGTTGACCCCAGTAAAAAAAAAAACCTTTGAAACCTCCAAACAACCCCCCCCCTCCCCCGATGATTTAATTATATAATTTCATTTTAGTTTTTTTTTTTTTTTTTTTAAATTATTTCAATCATTGATTTAAAAAAAAAAAAAAAAAAATTATTCGTAATAATAATAATAATAAACACATCATCATTTTTTTTTTTTCGTTGCATCAAATTATGAATAGAAATTTGTAATATTTCCTTTCCCTAATCTATTGTGATACAATTTTTCCCTAGAATAATTTTGTTATGCATAACTTTAAATTGCTTGTGTATACTTTTATAGAAAAATAAAAATAAAAATTGAGGGCTTAAATAGTATTTCGACACAAATAAAATTACCTAAATAAATAAATAAATAATTTCAACAAACAAAAACAACCATGATTTTGATTTAAAAAGCGAAAAATGCATAACGTGTAGATTTAGTTCTATAGAAAAAAAATAATAAAAAAAAAAAAAATTGCAATGTTACGTAAAATAAACCAATGATGACTTTAATGTCTTCATCTAATAATTTAAAAAAAAAAAAAAAAATATTTAACATAACAATGGAAATCCAAAATTATTCCAATTATAACGGATATAGAACGATAAAAACTTTTAGTTTTTGAATCATTTTAGATAAATTAGAATTAAAAATAAAAAACATGAAATATACTACCCTTCTGCAAGAACTTAATCATGAAAAAGAAAATGTAATAGGATGATGTTACCTTGCATATTAGTTCCTCTTGAGTTTGAACGTTAATACATTTATTAAGTGTGCTACCCTCGGGAATATCCAATATTAGGTATTTATCCCCAACCAATGAGGCGGTACACTTTCTTTCCAAAGCTGGAGCCGCAGGGAAAAAAGGACTAAGAACACCACTAGACGTTGATTGATCACTGTTCGAATCACTTTTTTTAAAATCGTCCTGGGTCATGGGCATTTCAGGACTTTGCGGACTGTCAACATGAGCCTGATAAGGACTGGGAAGGTAAAATACTCTCGGTCTGGCCGTTTCCATATTCATTTTACTTTTTTTTTAAAAAAAAAAAAAAAAAAACACTTCACTAAAATACTTTAAAAAATTAACATCACTTCCAAAAAAAAAAAAAAAACAAATGATTTTAATCACAACACCGTACACATTTTTTTTTTTTTTTTTAAAATCAACTTTAACTTATTTAAAAACGCGGAAAATCATTTCGAACGCACAAACCGAATCAATTATAAATATATATATATATATGTATCCTATTAAAAAAAAAAAAAAAAAAAATCCTGTCCTCGAAAATTTGCACAAAAATGCTTGAATCCGTAGTAGGCCGAGACCCTGAAATAATGATGAAAAACCAAACGTGAAATAAAATAAAATAAAAAAAAAAACGATTTCTTAGGTGCCGGTACCTTGTTTATTTTATGATTACAAAAATCATGCAATACATGCTCTTTATCAACATATTGAGACACAGATTTTCTTTAAATTGAGTAACCAGGCTTCCAATTAGCTTATTCATCAAAGTCATTGCAAAAGATATAAAAATAGTGACGCTATTTTTTTCTTTCTCTTTATATATATATATTTTTGCACTTTTGTCAGACATAATAATAAATTCAATTAAAAAATATTTACTTAAATAAATATCCATCGAGTATATAAAAAAAAAAAAAAAACAAAGTTTTAATAGTTTATGTAAAGTTTTTAAGTAACACAATGAGATATTATTAACAAATTAATTTCGCTTGTTCGTTTCCGATCCTTTACGATCAATTTTTGTCGCAATTCTGTTATAAATAATTAACCGCGAATTACTCAGCGCTGCCACTGCCACTGCTACCACTACTACTGGTACGAGAGTTTTTCAATTACGTCATTTTCTTAAAAGTTTGATGATAAGCGGATGAGGTCAATTTATGATGAAAGAATTGTATTTGCAATGCAAGAAAATGTAATTTTATTTTTACACACACAAATAAAAACAAAAGCAAATTTCTAATTTTTTTCATGATACAAACAATCAATAAGAATTTTTTCTTTTTAATATCCCTACAATTACAGATATACAAAAATGAAAAAAAGTCTATGATACTTTAACATTGGTTTGACCTTTACACAAAAGACAAGAGCATGCAATTAAACCTTAGATAAAATTACACAATACTAAAAACAATTTTTCGACAAGAAAAAAAATTATAAATCATAGATTTTTTTTCTTAATTAATCATCATTTTATTTTTTTACTCGAAGAGTAAAATATGAAAAATAACATTTAAATTTCTTTTAATAATATTAATAATTACTCGATGATTGAAAAGATTTTTCTCAATTCGAATGCAAACATATACATGGGTAATTGAAATTGAAAAATAATCAATTATTATTTTTTTTATTCTATCATGAATAACAAAAAAAACATCTCAAATTCAATTTCTAAATAAATGTACTCATTAAAATTTTAAATATTATTTCAACAAAAGGTGCAACCTCAAACAAATTCAATAAATTATTAATAATACACTTGGGATTGATAAAAAGCCATTTTAGAGAAGTGAAGTCATTTTTAATTACTTATCATTTACATATAGTTCCAAGAAAAATTAATGTAAAAAAAAAAAAAAAAAGAAAATTACAATGCAGTACTTGTGAATTGAAGAAAAAATTGGGAGAATAAATTTAAAAAAGTAATAAAAATAGCAGTAATAAAAACAGAGAAAGATTTCGAAATAGTTATATTAAAGATACAATTTTAATAACAAACACAGCTAGAATTCAAGGTCAATATCTAATTTTAGATTTGTTATAAAACTCACCTTATTGAAATGTTCCTGAATATATTTTTTTAAAAAATCCGATACGAGTTTGTATGTAAATTTTTTTAAAAACCCGACTAAGATGTGGCTAAATTTGCCAAAAAGTCGGGTAAGTAATTTAATAAATTATATAAAACAGTAAAAATACAACACACGCCATTTTTAAAAATGAACGACTGACGCGCTCGTACAATACAAAATGTATGTAAGTATTAGCACTGACTATCGAGTGAGATAGTGATTCGATTGCAAAATTGCGACGCAATGGTTTCTTCCACTGTGCGACAAAAGCGCCATTAGTGAAAAAAATTTAAACTAATTTCGTTTTCCCGCTAAAATGTTTGTTTATTATATTTTTTTCCCGGGAATTAACATTTAACGGTTTTTAAAATTCGAAAATTAATAATTTCATGAAGTTATTAAAACTTTTATGTATTATTTAATATTTTTTTGAAAACAATTTGAACTAATTAACTAATTTTTAACTATACCTTGAAGGTAATTACTTTACTTTAGTGAAATAAAATAAAAAGTTTTTACAAAAAACAATTATTAATATATAAAATAACAAATTTATATTAAAAATTAAGTTCTTATATATAGTAATATATATAGTAATAATAATATTATATATAAATGAGGTCTTATAATATTATAAAATGTGTTAAGTATAAAAAGTATTGAAAATTAAGTATATTTATTAAAATTTTTATCAATTTAAAAAATGTTAGTGAACACAATAATGAATGCAAAATTAACAACTATAAATAATTTATTAAGTGAAGATAAAAAAGTTTTATTTTAAATTTTGGAATGCAATTTTTTTGTGTAAAAAAAATTTTATTATTTTAGTGTTCTACAGTTAGAGTATTTTTTTCCCAGCAAAAATTATTATTTGGTTCTTAATTTGCTGATAAAGTGTATGAAAATGAATCAAGAATGAGAAATAAAATAAACTGTAAGGTAAGTTAGTTAAAATTACAATTTTTTTTCAAAATTTTAATTGGTAAAAACCATCGTTATTAAATGATCTGAGACATTCAGATTTTGGGAAAGTACTTCTGCAGCAGGACCAATGACTATCAGACATATTTATTTTAGGACCATGTTTACAACCTTGATGAAATCCTTAAAAAAAAAATTACATTAATTACAAAGCGCTAAAAGGTTACATTTAAAATTTATTGTCTGTATGTATTACCTGTAACTGTACTCCCACATTTACAAAAAATATTTTTTTCTTTATTACTTGAACAAAAGGTACAACACTGTAAATTACCTTTGGAAATTTTTTGTTTTTGAACATGAATATCAAAAGGACTTCCCTAAAATACAAAGAACAAAGAAAAATTATTGAAAATTATACAAATTATAAAAAAAAGGTTAATTACCTTGATTGGTACTCCTCGAATAGATATTGCCAGGTTCATTTTTCCATGGGTATCAGGTGTGAAACTAATAACGTAAATTCCATTTTGTTGATCGACAATGTAAATAGGTATTTGTCTAATCATAGAGAATAATTAAATGAGTTTTTCTCTTTTAACATGTAATTAAAATTTTTATTATTAGATGCTACCTGTGCTGTCCTTTTTGACTTTTTAATTTGACTTCTAGTCCTTCTGCTCCATGTGTTAAACGCTGATCGAATATATCTTTGGTAATCACAGTTAAATCGCATCGTTTGTTTTCTACACATTTTGACAATATTTCCAACCCTAAAATTATTATTTTACACACATAAATAAATAATTTTATTAACGTTAATCTTCTTGTTACGTACAAAATGTTTAAAATTATTCACCTTCAGATGTTAAACAACAATTAGAAGGGGAAACAATTTCTGTTGTAATAACACCAAAAATTGTTTTATTATTTACAATTTTAGCTTTTTCTTCAGGTAAAAATTTTAGAGTTCCAATACAACTTGTAAAAGCAGTAGACAATGAGGATGTACCAGTTTTAAGACACCATTCTAACCTTTGTATTAAATAATTAGCAAAGCTTAATACCTGAATGAAAAAATTTAATTTTCAATGTGTTGCTAAATTAAAAAAAAACAAATTGAAAAAATAACTTACTTCAAAATCTGACCCCTCCTTCAATAATTGTTCACCAAATTTGATTGTGTGATCAATTTCTTTTGCTTTTTTTTCAACTTCTTTTTGTTTTGATTTAACTATTTCCAATTGTCCATTTTTAATTTGCATTGCTTGACTGAGTAATTCTATTCTATGTTCTTCAAATGCATACATATAACCATCAATGTGATCATTTATTTCTTTTTGAGTTTTATAATGTTTCGACTGAAATAAACCTAATGCTAAGTGTGTTATACTGTTAACCAAAAAAAGTTTTTTTTTTTTCTTCTAAAATACCTCAATTTCTAATGCAAGTTTTTCGAATTGAACAAGTGTTGCATATGCTTCCTTTGTAAGTATTCTACTATTTTCTAAACCGTTTTCAATTTTATTTATGTAAATTTGTGCCGCTCTCGAAAATGATTTACAATTGTGACCAGAATGAAATTGTATGAAACATTCACTAAAAGCAAAAAAAAAATCATCATTCGAATTCGTACCTAATTTTTTTTTACAATAAATTTAAACCTACGTGCAAGCCACCATGTTGCAAGACGAACAATAATATTTAAGTTCTTTTTCCTTGTGTGAAGGACACATGACTTGTCTCCTTATTTTCGTGATTCCAAAACCTTCCGCTTGTTCCTTTTTAAGGTATTTTAAATTATGATTGAAAAATAATTTGTCGCGTTTGTGAGATTTTGAACAATCTTCGCAAAGGTTCAACAAACATTTTGTGCATCTGCAACAAGCCTGTAATCAAATTAAAAAGGATCACTCACCTACCACCCTAAACATTAACCTGATACAATTAAAATTCTTACCGGAGTTTCTTGAGAACATAAATCACAAAGAAGGCATATCCCACTTCGATTTAAGGAATTAACAAGCATTCGATGTTGTAAAATATAATGTGGAGGAAGATCCTGTACACCTTTTACCGGTATCCTGTTTTCAAAATTACATATCGGACATATTATTATAGTTGAATGTGTTTTACTACAGGACCTGTATGGTAGTAAATGAAAATCTTCATTACAGGTTTTTTTTTTATTTAAAATATTCAATTTTAAATTATTACAATCGTGTCCGATGAAATTTTTTCTCGAATAATTTCTCCTGAAAAAGTCTAACGTCATTTTTTAATTAATTAATTATTTTGTATTTATTATTGGAAATACAAATCAAGGTATTTAAGGTACTCCTTTTATTACAAATTTTAATAAAAAAAAAAAAAAATATATATACACTAGTGTATTTTGCAATTGTGTGTGTGTGTGTGTCAGTCAGTTTCCATTGCCAATCCACAGATTAGATTGCTCAATTTAACTTTAACGACCTAATTTTTTTTTTTTTTTTTTAAATAAATAGAAAAACTTACCTTGAAATCTATCATTTTGTTTTTTTTTATCATCATTATTATCATTTTTAAAATTTTGTTCCAAGTATAAATTTTCTAAACAATGAGTACAAAAACAATGCAAACAAGGTAAAACTCTCGGATTTAAAAATTCATTTTTACATATTTGACATATAAATTCAATATTTTCACAAAATATTTTTTCAAATGGTTTTCTAAATAAAAAAAAAAACAAGAAAAATTTTTACTTTATTTAACCTTTAACCTATATTAAATTATATTTATAATAATAATAATAATATTAATATACAAACCCAAAATTTTTATTTTTTTCTTTAACTCTTTTATCCGACATTATTTAAAAAAAGACGAAAAAATTTTCTTTTTTTAACAATTCATTGTTTAAATTTCAACTATTTGTTATTATTATTATTATTATTATTATTAATTTAAATTTTTTATATTTTACTAACTCAAAAGATGAATAAAGATGACTAATAGTGTGCTAAAACCACGAGTTAAAAAAAGATTGAAAACAATTTCATTTTTTTTTTTTTTTTTATTAAAATACATGCGCTGCCAAATTTTCTGTCGCTTTTAAATTTTTTTTTTTTTTTTTCAAGATGGTGATTTAATGATGTAACAACTATTTAAAAAAAAAAAAAATTGTTAGCACACAATAAAAAAAAAAAAAAAAATGAAAAACTTTAAAGAAAATTTCTTTCATGTATCATTGAGTTACATCAAATAATGTTTTAACAAAAAAAAAAAAAAAAAAAGTTTATGAAATACAATTAAAGAAGAAAAATATATAAAAATTTATTATTATTATTATTTATATAATTACTTAAACAATTCAAAAAATAATAATAATAATTATAATAAATAAGGGGCACTGAATCCCCTCCCCTCCTCCCCAAAAAAAACTATCAACTACTTAAACAAATGCAAATTTTTTAATTTTATTACCGTAACAAAAATTTAAAAAAAATATTTATACAATAAATTAATGTGCAGATAATTAATTAATTATTATTATTATTATTATTATTATTAATACTAAAAATTCTATAATGTGAATATATGAATACGTCATTTTTTTTTTTTGTTAACAATAACAACAAATACTAAAGAAAAATCCATTATTTCATTATTACAATTTAAACAAAAAAAAAATTATTTATAAAAAAAAAAAAAAAAACAAAATGAAAGACGCGATTAAAAAAATTTATATAAAAAATAGAGTATTATTATTATTATTATTATTAATAAGCTAATAACAATTTATAATTAATTTCGGCTTATTTTTTTTTATCACGATAATACAAAAAAATAAAAAAAAACGTCACAAAATATCATTTTTTAATAATATCATAAACACACAGGCACTTTTATATATAAATAATAATAATAATAATTAAAAAATTAATTAATTATAAATTACGTTTAAATAAAATGACTTACCGTGATGATAATACTAATAATAATAGTAATAATAATAGTAGTATATTTACTTCTATGGTAAAAATGGTATGGCGGGTCGTTTTGGATCTGTCGGAGAACCAAAATAAAGAACACACCAATGATCTGTAAAATATTTTTTCAATTTTTTTAATCACAAAAAAAAACCGAAAAATCCGGGGGATTAACGATTCGTTTGTTTAAACAAACAAACAAACAAACAAAAAAACAAAACTGGAAAAACATTTCTAACGAGAAAAATTAATTTTCAATTATTATTATTATTAAAAAAAAAAAAACTTACTCATGTTGTTATACAGGAAACTTGTGGTTTCTTATTATTATTTGCTGCTTGCAAAAAAATCAAAATGTAATAATAATAATAATAATAATTTTTACAAAAAAAGGTTAATTGAATATGTGAATTAATTTTTTTTTTTTATATATAATTTATTATTATTCACATTTTCAATTTATTTAAATTTATTAAACAATTAAATAATTAAAAAAGTAAATTTTTATAATAAAATTTATTGTACAATATTATTATTATCTTGCTACACCATTATAATGTAAAACTACTTTATATATAAATATATATATATTGAAAATATAAAAATAAAGTTCAGATCATATATATATATATTGATTATTATTATTATTTTAATCAAAATGGACGGAAAATTTACTTTGCGAATTTTTTTTTTCTCTTATGTACATTATTCATTTATATACAACGTAAATATATTTTTTTGATGACGTCATTAAAAATAAAATAAACGTTTAAAAAAGTTTTACAATTGTTTCGATTAACCCTTAACCAATTCATATAAATAGTGATGATAGAGAGAATTTTTATAAAAAATATTTCCCTTCCCCTCCCCCCTCGGTATCCCCTGCGCTGTTGATAATGATAATGATGATTATCGTGTTCATATATAAAAATTATTTAAAATTAAAATTAGGTAATTGAAAAAATTTTCTAAATGTTAACTTGCCTCTGGGTTTATATTTGAGATGCTCCTCAATGAATTGACAAGGACAACGAGCCGATATGCAATGACGTGGGGGAACCCAAGGAAAAGACCCGTGATCGCTTCCGTCCACGTTTAAATCCAGCTGATGCCGGACGTATTGACGAACCCAACGGGAAGAATAGCGTAGGAATAACATTTCTCCTCTCTCCTGCGACACACAAATTTAAAATTTTCTCTCCTTAACTAATTTCTACCATTGGTTTATATATGAATAATTTTTTCACGTTTTAAAAACTACATTCACATATATAATTGGACATTGGGGAATGAGACAAAAATCCATTATAAAAAAAAAAAAAAAATTAAAAAAAAACTTGCAAAAGACATATTTAACGAATAATCCTTCCAAATAACAAAAAAAATAAAATTTCATTTTTTCATTTCTTTTTTTAAATAAAAATTTTATAAAATCCCATAATAATAATAATAATAATAATTCTGATTACACTTTTAAAAAAAAATTAAATCGTGAAACTAAAAAAAAGTAAATAAATAATTGCAAAACAAACAAGATTAACAAATAATAATAATAATAATAATAATAGTAATAACAGTGACGCATTTAAATTAAATAAAAAAAAAAAATTGCTTAAAGTGCTGATAATAACGCTTAATTGTGATTTTTTTTTATACTAAAAACTACTCTTAAAATAAATATTTTCATTTTATTTAATGGATGATGATGATGATGATGATGATGAAATTATTAATAGTTTGTTTCGTGACACTATCTTGGCAATTTTTTTTTTTTTCTGTTTTAATAACAATTGGATAATGAGTAGGCATATTGGCATAGGATAAAACGACCATTTAAAATATTATAAAAAAAAAATTTCTTTTTCAAATATGGCAAACTTAGAAACATTTTCTTTACTAGCTAGCTAGAGGACTTTCGAGTTTAATCGAGTCCTCTTTCGACGAGCCACGAACTAAAACAAGGGCAAAATGCCCTCCGGTCGGAATGTGGTTTGTTTCGAAGATATTCTTCAACATATTGGCACGGACATAGAGCTGATGCTAAATGACGAGGATCGACAGGGTTACCACCAGCTTCATCAACGGTCCAATCTAATCGACGTCTGAGAAAATCTTTACTCCAACGTTGTAAATATCTAGTCAAAACTTGCTCTCCCTTTCCCTGCACACAGAGGTTTTTTGTTTTTGTATAAAAAAAAAAAAAAAAAAAGCTAAAAATCTAAAAATGTTAAAGTGATTTTCCTATGAAAAAAAAAAACCTTTGACCAATCCGATTCGATAACTAGTGAAAAGCAGGAGAAAAAAAAAAAACAACTTTCGAAAATAATAATAATTTTGCTGTGTAGAGAGTGCGGTAAAAAAAAAAAAATAATAATAAAAAATAGTTTCTAACCCGTTTTCTAGGCAATCTCGTAGTATTTGCTCCCTGTACTATAATATCATTGTCCTCGATGTCCATCCTTTGCTGAAATTGTCTTTTACGTTCTTTATCCGATTGGTTACTGTTGACGGGACGACCTTCTCTTTCTTCTTTCTCGATGACCTCTTCCAATTTTTTCTAAAATTTAACAAAGACGTTTATTTTACGAGTAAACGCCATGTTTAATGTGGATATAATTAAAAAACTTACAATGCAATCGGCCGTATTAAAATAAATAAAACATAAATTAACTTTATGACAAGATATTTTTCCTCTGTCGTCCAGCCCGAGTATAATTTTATGTTTAAGTAAATGTTTATTTACTTGTCCAAGGCACTTTTCTAAATTGTGATTGAGCTGAAACAAACAAATTCATTTGCCATAAAAAAAAAACATAAACCTAACACACAAATTTTCCCATTCAATCATACCTTTATTTTTATCCACATGCATAAAAAAATGGCGGCCGCGTTCAGTATGAGCCACATGACACCCAAACCGAAGAGTGTGAGGCCCGTAATACCGGAAAATAACAAGCCCAAAAGAACCATGAAAGCGGTGAATATCCACAAGACCAAAATTCTCTTGTAGCAAATGTTATACATGTTGAACCTGAGGTCATTTGTAAGAAGTTCCATGACGCTGACGTAATCTTCAATTGTGAGCTACAACAGAACCGTTGGAAATTATTCTTCATCATCTCTTTTTTTTTTAGGACAATGTTCAACAAAAGGACAAATTAAAAAATTTTTTTTTTTAAGGCAAATTTATAATTTTTGAGTCTACGAAGAAGAACGTGAAGATACGTACGGTGAGACTCTGAGCCATTAACTCTTCAGGAACTAATTCTGGACGGAATTGTGCCGGAGTAATCCATGGCCATCTTGTGTTAACCGGAAGGAGAGTAACTATAATGTCGCCATTTGCTGTAAACAATTTATTTCAATTAGGAAAAGTTATGAACACAAAAAAATTGATTTTTTTTTTAATCATTGGACTTTTTATTTGTTTTAAATCTCTTAAAATCCAAACATTAATTTAATCCATTATTGGAAATAAATAAATAAAAAAGAAAGTTTGAAAAAAAAAAAAAAAAAAAAAAGCAAATAATTAATGTGTGTGAACCGAACAAAAAATAATCAATAGATTTTTCCACTCTTGCGTGACTAACAATAATATAAAAGATAAGAAAGGTAACGAAGGTAAGGTTTTTGACCCTTTGACATCCTTTTTTTTTTTGTACTTTACTTCAGACAAATATTCCTGTTGAAACTACAGTTTCAGAGAAAAAAAAAAAAAAAAAAAAAAAAAAACTCTTTCATAGCATTTTTATTATTTTTGGGGAAAAGTTGAAAATAAATTAAATTATTTAATTGTTTCGTAGGCAAACATTACAAGACAGAAAACCATAATCATAATTTTTTTTTTTTTTTAAATTTGATGCCTGATTTAAATTAAATTACACAATAATCTAAATTAGGTACAGGCTATTTAAAGTCCGATTACAATAGGCATCACTTACTACCTGTAAATAAATTAAATAAATGCTTAAAATTTTTTTTTTTTTTTTATTAAATAGTTATCGAACAAAATTTGCTTTCCGATGAGTTTTGTTATTTAAAAATAATAATAATAATAATTATTCCCAATGTAAAAAAATGGCACTCGAAGTACCTGCTTGGTAGAGAAGCGATTTTAAATTTACTAACCGAATCCTTGTCTGATGACGGCGTTTCCAATATTTGAAATCCTGGAATTTCCCACCGAATTCCCGTTGACATTTTCTCTTAAATCTACATTTTTCAATCCCGATTTGGATGAATCGGGAATTTTCGAATTGGTCGATGGATTGTTTTGAGATTCTAATTGGACGGATCTGTTCATGCTCGTTCTACCAACGTTTATATGGACGGATTCTGGAGTTATAACGGCTGCCGTTTTATTTCCGGCCGATTCTTCGCCATTTCCTTCTCCATCGGGTTTACCATTTTCTATATTGATTTGAGTTGATTCCGGTTTTATTATGGCCGAACTATTTTCTTGACTTTCTTTCGGAGCCTTTCCCTCGGGTGAATCTTCGTCGAATGTAACCCATGTTTTCGTTCCTGGATTGTTGGTATTTTCCGGGGTACTCATGTCTAAAAAATTTTCATTTTTGGTATCATATCATTGACGTGTTGTGCTCCTTCATTCAACTTTATTTAAAACATTTATTAATTGCCATTTTATTCAACGTCGTAAAAATTTCAATGCAAGGAGAATAAATAATAAAAAAAAAAAATTAATTATGCGTCAAACACATTTTCGAGATCTTTTGCCAATCAGTTGTTAATTCAATAGTCAAGTTTCAAATTATTATTATTATTATTAATTTAAGATTAAATTTATTGACGTAAAGACAAAACAATGTACGACAGAGGAAATAGAATAAAATATATATATATGGTTAAATTACTTTTCTCTCTCTCTCTCTCTCTCTCTCTCTCTCATAAAACCTTTAAGAAAAAAAAAATTCATGTATTCGTGAGTAGTTTGTAAATTAGTCACGCGATTTATTTAACAAATAAATAAATAAATAAATAAATAAATAATAAAGGTTTATTATTATTAGTAAATAAAATAAATTTATCAAAATTATTTTTTTAACCGGTTTTTAAATGAAACTAATAATGGATATATATATATAGAAATAAAATTTTTTTTTTCTTAGTAATTATTATGTACTGAATTCTAGAATGTGCTGCTTATGAATTTGAACGGTACTAATAATAATAATAATAATAATAATAATAATAACGAAACGCAACGTGACTAACTGCAGATACTTTACTGTTATCTTAAGCCTAAAGATCAAAGCAAAATATTGGTTTTAATATTTGTTCTTACTCTTTTTTTTTTTTTTTTTTTTTTTTTTTAAAAAGAAAAAAAAAGAGTCCTATTGTTATTTTATCATTCATTACACTGAAAATAATAATAATAATAATAATAATAAGTTTCTATTTTTTAAACTAAATTAAATTTAAAATCAATTTTTAGTAATTTTTTTTTTTTTTTTTTTGGGGATTTTTGAAATGCCCATCAAAAAATGTTAATCAAAAACTTTATATAGCTTTATAGTTAATACAAAATAATAATAATAATAATTATGTCAATCAGAAATGAAAATATGTCATGGGAATAATATAATAATAATAATAATAATAAAATTTTCTAAAAATCACATGAATGGAAGTTGAATATGACCTTTTTTGTTAAATTAACATGTCACATTTTAATAGTTGCACATCACACAATGTTAAAATTAAATTTCAAAAAGATTTATTTTATGTTGAACTTGTGATTGATTAAATATACATACAATATTTTACATTGAAAATTATAATTTTATAATAAAATAAAAATAAATAAAAAAAAACAGCTAGTACATGTTTTATTTGGAACAAAGTTCTAAAAGTAAAAATTAATAGACGGTATATTTAAAGGAAAAATTTTTCATTAAACGTTATTTTATGTTATAATCTTTATGTTAATGATTTATGGAAAGTAGTAAATGTAAAATTTTAAAAAAGTTTTCTTCCAAGGTTGTGATGAAAATTATTTATGTTTAATAGTTTACCTGTTATTAATATGAGTAACAGGTGCAATTGTAATTAATCGTTAATAGAAACGTTTTGGAAAACGTTATTATAAAAAAAAAAAAAAACAAAAACGATTACTAACCTTAAATATTTAAAATAAATTTATGTAAAAAAAAAGTTATAAATACATAAAAAAAACTAAATACTACTTTTTAATAATAAAGGAGTGTCACTACCTGCCATGTTACACACTCACACCCTTCATGTTTTACCTGTTGTACGTTCAGTCACGAAAATTTGCCGCCAATAGAATTTCAAAATAAAATAATTTTAGTTTCTGAAATATTAATTTATTTCTTCTGCTAGGTCGGGTTTAAAAAAAAATAAAAAATAAAAATATTTAAATAAGGGATTTGATAATGTCACTTAAATATGCTTTGGCACCGGGGTTTAGAACTAAATTACTTAAAAATTTAACCGAAACCAAAAGTTCTAATAAGCTGAATAATAAAAATGTAATTTTTTCATCTTTAGACCATTTACAAAGACGGAATTTTACGTACATTGCCTCGAATCGTTTTTATTATAATAATAATAATAATAAAAATAATGAGCATAGGTATTATGTCCCGTCATTGTTTTCGTTAGGAGGTATATTATCTATTTTTGGACTTGAAAAATCAGATGATAAAGAAGATTCCAATAGTTTTACAAAAGAAATTTTAAAAACTTTGGGTTTACAAAAAGAAAAAGAAGAAACTGATGAATCTAAATTAATTATGGCTATCAAAAGAGGCATTTTGTTAATACAAGTAAATTTTAAAGTTTAAAAAAAAATTTTAATTTCCATGAAAATTTTAAAATAACTCATACAAAGCAAATTATAAAATTACGATTGAATTTATTATTATTATTATTTTTTTTTTTTTGTAGAAGAAAGATTTTAAAAGAGCAGAAGAAATGCTTCATTCAGCTTTAAGACTGGCTCAAGATATGGAAGATGAAGATGGAATTACTTATATTTATGATATTTTAGCAAATTTAGCTTTTAGTACTGAACAATATGTTAAAGCAGAAAAATTATTTGTCAGCGTTTTACAAAGGCTAATAGCCAAAGGGGAAGAAAAAGATAGTAATCGAGTTATCGATATTAGTTTAAAATTGGCAAAAATTTTCGAAACTAAAAAAGAATTCAAGTATGTAAAAATATTTATTTCACTTATTTATTTACTAAATCTCATTTATCTTGAGCTTTCACTTTTCTGCTTCACTGAAATTATTTAAAAAAATTTTTAGAATATTGTAGTAAAAAGTTTATTATTTCATTTAGGTTAATTAGTCTTTTTTTTTTTTTTTTTTTTTGTTTTTAGTAAAGCTGAACAGGGTTATAAATTTTGTATAGATACTTTGGATCCAAAACTAAAAGATGAAGATGAAGATACCCTTGCATTGTGGGGTATGAGTATGGATTGGTATGCGAGATTTTTATTAGAAGTAAACAGAAAAACGGATGCTTTAAAATGTTTTCAAAAAGCTTATGAAATGTGCGTCAAAGTTAACGGATTGCTACACGAGCAGACGGTTGTTTTGTTAAATGATCTGGGAACTGTTTGTAGTTTGTTGGGTGATAATGAAGGAGCTTTAAGTTATTTAGAAAAGGCTAAAAATATTGGAAAAAGTTTACCAGACATGAAAGATTTAGCTGCAATTTATATTAACTTGGGCCAGCTTTATTTAATGAGAGAAATGTACAGAGAATCAAAATTAGCATGCCAAGAAGGTATGAAAATGGCTAAAAAAAGGGAAGATGAATCTACAGTTTCTGAAGCTAAAAATTGTTTAGATAAAATTAATGAAGTATTAAATAAAACGGAATTGTATAAAAAGATAAAGCCTACGGCTCAAGTTTTGGTGTCTTAAGTAATTCATACATGAATAGGTTTTAAACATTGTTTAAGCTGTCTAATAATTTTTTATATTAATTATATATTATATAAAATATATTAAAAATATAAAACTCTGTATATTTTTCAATTTGTAATAATATGGTTAGTGTTATTCGCATTTAAAATGATTTTTTTCGAATCGTTAAAAGTATTCGATAATAATAAATTCGTTTAATTTCGTTCGAGTAAAAAAAAAAAATCTTTAAAAGTAATTTATTATTTATGAATTTAACTCAGTTTTACTGTATTAATAAAAAATATTGCTTTTATCATGAGAAATAAAAAAATAGTTTTTTTTTCATACTTTATACTCCCTGATTCCATTTTATTTAATAAAAAAATCAAAACCCGAGAAATAATATTTTAGAAAATTGTTTTTTTTTAAAAACTTACTTTAAAATGTAGTCTCTTTTTTTCTTCCCAATAATAAAAAATAATTAAATTTGATTTTGATATCATCAGATGCTCGAGTATTTAAATTCTGCTTAAATTCACTCTCAAATTTTTTTAATAATTCCTTTCCTTTTTCTTCGCCTTCCATTTTTGTATAATTTTGAAAAGCAGACCAGCTTGTGATATAACCAATCACATCATTGATTGAACCAT